TGCTTTAGTCTAGTTCTGGTTGACGCACTTGTTGACGACACACAAACATTCAACTGCATACTTGGGAACAAGCGAAGCTTTGCAAAGTGCTGACAACTACCAGAAACAACCCGTCGGCTTAGACTGGGCACTTCCTGAGGCGATAGGACCATTGTGCTGCCAAACATACTCAAAGCACATAACTAGCTTCGACCAATACAAAGCCCCCCTGGAGCAATAGAACATCTTGTTGAGACTAAGAAGGACATGTTACGGATAGATTGTCGAGGGGGAAGGGAGAGTTAGAGAAGCAGCACTGAATGTGCACATGTCAATACACATGAACCTATGTGCTTCACCGATTACAACAATAATGTGGAGCTGATCAAAAGGAAGAACGGCCAAGTAACAACAGCACAAGAGACAAGCCAGGCAGCCAGGCAAGAGGGAAAAGACAACTATTCAGGTAGTAGGGAAACTCCGGCCTGAGGAACCCGCCTATTTATCCTTGCGGCAAGAAACTGTCCAAGTGACGCAAACATACTTGCTGGAGCTTGGCCGCCACCTTGTCCAAAACAACAGGAATCAATACCGATGACCAAGCACAACAAATGAAGTACTTCTTGCATGGATAGAAGCTAATCAATCCCCTTGCAACTGGTCTAGCTCAGTACCTTTTAGTAGAGTTCCCCACCTGTCAGGCTTATATGTCAGCTGCATTCCGCCTCCGGCTCCGCCTCGTCCGCCTCCTCCTCACCTCAACCGCAAGTGCAGGATGGCAGTGTTCCCCGCCGGACCTCAACCGCCAGCTCCCGAGCGCACTGGGCGCTGCCGGACCTCAACCAACACACAACCACAAACACACAATCACAAACACAACCACAAAAACACATCCACAGCACACAGCCACAACACACAACCACAGCACACAACCACAACACACAACCACAACACACAGCCACAGCACACAACCCGAGGACCCACAAGCAAAATCTAGAACGGCAGCATGCTCCTGACCATGGCATGAAGACAAATGATTGAAATGTCATGGTGGTGATCACTTGAAGTAGCGTAAGTGTCGTTTTAGGATCATGATGTTCCGAATGGCAATATGTAAGAGTAGAACTCATTCAACAATACAAAACAGTTTGATCAATAAAAAGCCTTGTGAAGATTGAACCAGCTTTCCTTGTTTGGTACTTGGTGTTTATCAGCAAACAAATTTAGTCAAGGTAAACCGGTAAACATATTTTATCGATAGAGCAGTCCAAAAGCCTGTTGAGACTGGGCAAAGCTTGTAGGGAAGAGTGTTGAGAGGAGACGAAGAGCTACACAAGTGAACAACATATGAGCGACGTGCAAAACCTCTTATGTGTTATTGTGCGCACTCTTCCCGACGTTATCGTTTTTTTTCTGTGAACCTTATCGTTCCTGAAGGTTTCCTTCACTTTACTTATTTAGTCTTCACTGTAGTGATGCTGCCTTCATCGGAGGTTTTGGCAGTTGCTCATATATTGTTGGTCAATCAATTCAATTCTATCAGCAGTGAGGGGGGCTGAACAACAGGAACAAGAGCTTACCACTAGTCAGCAAATAAGCCAAGAAAGAAAAAACAACTGTTTAAGTAGGAGTATTGCTAAGTTAGGTAGGTGAGTGGCCATGAAAGCACACAACTGCAAACAACCAACCACAAGCATACCAAAACAAGCCCAAACAATGGCAAGGCGATCTGGTCTACATCATAATCATCGGTTTCTTTATGTATATATTTGTGGTGTTTGTTTTTGGGACTGGGGGGCTGCACATAACCCTCATTCAGCTTGCAAACAGTTTGGCAACAAATCAAACCAAAGGACACTTGTGGTACATATCAATATGGTATTGAGTACTGTCTGCAAGCTGAGGTTGAACTTGAGCTTTAGCTGTGCGGCGACACCTAAGCCCAGCAAAAAAATAACATATTTGCCATGAAGCTGGCTTAAAAAAAGGTATCATGCGGGGATCAGCTACTGGTCAGGAGAACAGCAACTAAGACTATGAAGCCAGCACAAAAAGACACATTTGCTTGATTGGTGGAGTGGACAAGTCGCCAGTTGCGGGTCAAAGGCAAAGAAGAGGACGTTGCGAACGCCAGGGCATCACGGATTGGCTTATCACTTTTGATGTGTCAAGGATGCCGGACAATTCGCCTGTCTAGCATTAAAATACCATCACTCCACCCCCATCACTAGCCAATTCACATACTTTTCACCAATCTAGACTGCCCAATCTCTCATTGACAAGTAGAAATCATTCAACAATACAAAGCAATTTCACCAAGAAAAAGCTTGTGAAGATTGAAACAGCTTTCACACTTGTTTGGTACTTGGTTTGGTAAGTTCACTATCTCACTGGACCCGAGAAGCACCGGTCCGGTCGTCCTCCGGTCCAGGTCGGGTTCGGCGTGATCAATCCACATGCCTCCCTTGGGTGCGTGGCAGCTCCCAGGAACCTCGAAAAACAAGGCAAACAAGAACAAGTTGCATCAGGTGCTGAGGACTGTCAATCTGAGCGCTGCCATTCCAAGCTTTTGAGGACTTTGGGATCTGCGTTGTGCAAACCCATCAACTCCCATGAACCGCTCCCTGGTGGCTTCAAAACTGCCGAAGAGGGCGCACAGCATCGCCAACGCACCAATCCCGTCGCGGGTGTTGCTTCGTGAGCGGAGCACTGAGGCAGGACTTCAACACAGCCATGGGTGAAGCAGATTCTGAGTGGACTCCCCTCATTGATATCAAAAGGCACCGCTATAGGCATTCAAACCACATCTTCACGATGGGTGAACATCGTTGCCATATCGATATGACTCAAACAACCATAAACAACCTCATGATCTGCTTGTGCACATGCTTGTGATGTCTTTTCCGAAACGTCCCCACACAAAAAATGGGGCGAACTCCTTAGGAACATCGATGAACATCGACACACCTTGACAACTCGGGGGTTGTAAAGGGGGTGCGTAGTTGACAACGCATGATCAAAATAGTCTTATTGATCTCTTTCCTTCGTTTCACGAGTGCTTTCGTCCTCTTATGATAGGATTACACAATGAATCAAGAAACCACCATTTGTTAATCCGTTAATCCTATCATAAGGTCCCCCCCAAAAACGCCCTATCTTCACAGGACATCGGTACGTAAGAGTTGCATTGGGAACACGCAGTGCCCACACGGTGCCCACCAAAGAGAAGAGGCTTTGACGTATGTCCACTGCCATCTGGCACAGTTCCATATGGGCACAGGAAGTTCTGGAGAAGTTCCCTGGAATCAATGACGCCTGCCTAAAAGCATCATTCTGTTTAAGAAACCTGGGGGGGTTAGGAAAATCAAGTACCGCAGGAACTCCTGAGGATTCCAAGAATTGCTAAGTTTATGATATCGTCTCTCCAAAAACAGCGATGCCGACCTCGAGGCGTTCCAGCATTTTGGAGAATGCATGACCACTAAGACTTCCAGGATCTTACAGGCCATCATCTGGAGGTGAACGGAGTGCAGGTCCCGTTGCGACTGAGATTTGATGCGACAGAGATCCGGGCGCCGCCTGGTTGAGGCACCGGAGAAAAAGACATCAACTCATAGTGCGATGGCCATCAATCCCATTTCTGCGACTCGACTCGGGTCCCAAAGAGCCTGATCCCACATCCCCCAAAGACCTGATGTATGATATGATGGAACATGATGGAGCTTATTGTGATGCTGTTGAGGCCACAAGACATCCGGCTTGATCCTCTGGGTTTATAGGACCCCTTTTTCTTAGTGTGGCCACATAGCGTGGTGGCAAGTTCCTCAAACTCATGGCGCAAACTGCTAGGAGTTGCATGTTACAGTCAGGAAATTCATTGAAATTCAACTTCAACCTTTCACTGCTGTGAATGAACTTCCCAGAAACCACCAAAAGAAGCCTTGACAAAGAGCAATTCCAGAAACATGTGTGTGGTTGCGGGGCTCCCCGGCGACCATGCTCTTCATGACTAGTGACTATGCTCCACGCTGGCCACAGGATGAGGCATGGACCCACTAGACCAACCCGGTGACCCTCCCTCTTCCACTCTTCCATCACCTTACGACTCCCCTGTCGGTCACGACCCCGTTTCCCAAAAAAGGATGCGCGCTGAAGAAAACAAACAAGGCAGGTTTGTTATAGGGGAAATGGGCAGCCATGGCAGCCTAGATGGAACAGCCTAGATGTAGGGGGAAACGGTCCTTCTAGGCTGCCGTGGAAAACCTCGTCATTTCGCCGTTGTCCCGAGTCGTTCGCCGTTGAACCATGCCCGCCGAACCATGCTGCTGGCGCGGAGGGGAGGCCGGGGCTCGGTTCCCATTTGGGAGGAGCTGGCTCGGTTCGGCCGCGTTCGGCCCTGCGTGACATCAGAGCTACCCCAAAGACTCCGAATGGGACTGCGCCATACATCGACCCCGCCTTGGCACCCACCCGAAGGAAGGTGGAATATATGCCACTCCCTTGGGGGTGTGGGTACGGTACTAAGTACTATCAACTCAACGTCACTCTGCAATCTGACCTCCAAACATCCACAAGCCATACGGAAGAACCCCCCAAACATCCGGTGTGTGGCGGAAGGTCCACAAAAAGGGAAGAAGGCAAGTTGGTGGCGGATGCCGCCCCAACAGCTACAATGCGATGCGAGAAACACAAGCAACACACTGACATGTCACATGCAGGACGGAGGACGGAGGGTGCCGACCGGCAGACGGAGGGCGCCGCCAGTGGCTTCTCCAAAATACCCAAGGCATGCAGAGGGAGGTCACCTAATTGTAATGCTAAAGCTGGATACATCAACGCTTTTCAACGAGTACTGTAGGAGTGGAAGATTGCGTGCAGATTCTAGGCGTTCATGTGTGTTTGCCATGGTTTTCACTTTTCCATGAAGAATTGACATGTTCGTAGTGGCTTGGGGTCTGTATCCTCCTTACTTCCATCACTAACCCCACCCAGCAGGTCACACTTACTTCCTCGTTGGATGTGAGAAGCTGACATTGCCACTGGCAGATGCACATCGTCGACGCGGCGGTGAAACGGCCTTCTTTCCCGTGCTTGGCTCATCTGCCGTGCCACACTCACCGTCAGACCTGAAGCTTCAACAAGAATCCGAAAACACATGGCAATAGAAATGGCAATAGTTATCCAAAACTGAATGAACACTCGGGATACACTCATTTTGCGCTAAATTAGGTCACCCTTTTGGTTATCTCCATCATTCAGTCACCCCAGTGGAATCCTGTTGCTAAAGGCATGCATGTCATGAACAAACACTCCCGTGAAAGGCGCCATCGACCCGATCCATGGGCTCTGCGCTTCGGTTCATGTGTGGCTTCGGTCAAGGTCCATGGCTGGTCCGAAACCCCCCCCTTTGTACTAGATGAATTGAGAAACAGAAACGATAGAATCCGGGTCACCTGGATGACCCCCGCACACCACGAAAAAAACAGAGGCCATCCAGAAAAAAAAACCAAGCCAAAGAAACAAATCCAGCAACTCACAGGGATCCCTATTGTATACTCAAGGTACCGCCCATTCCATATTGCCCAGTATTCCGTGTTCACACACTTGGCTGGGCCAAAGAGATTGCCAAAGAATCCGTGCTACCGGTCGAGTGCTCCATGTTCGAATCAATTCATTGATCCATGAGTGTTCCATCCTAGACTCATGGAGGGGTCCTTGGAGACCCCCCCCCCCCGCGCAAACCCCTTGGATTATCGAAGAAGAAAATACTCTGGCACAGCCCATCTAGACTCTATATATTACCATCTGCGACGTGCTATGTCACGCACCCAGCCTCAACCAGCTGTAGGCGTCTGGCCCATCAGTGGGACAAATCCGCAGAGGGGCTACCTGGGGCGGGGCAAAAACATGAACATCCCATCTGTTGGTGATACGCGTCATCTATATAATCATGTGATGGTACATGTTGTGTTGGACATTTTAACTTTTGAGATACATCAAACATGATCTTTTCCCCGTTGACTGTGGCTCCAGCGGCCACTTTGGGATGGTTTGCAGTCCCTCAGAGGCCTCTGTGAGAAAATCAAATTTGCAAACATGATCCAAACCACAATTGTATAAACATCCATAGTAGATATTAGTAGATTAACCCCACTTTGCAACTAACAACGCCAATGACTGAGAATATCCTAAAACTGCAGTAACTGCAATGTGTCGACGTGTCTTGCTAAAGCTCTCCACCAAATTCCAACTTGCCGAATGCAAGCTGGCAAGCAACTGAATGAGCAGGACCAGGATCAGGAACGACCGGGAGCAAATGAACGACCGAGAGCACATGAGCGACTGCAGTCCTCGCAGTCCTCGCGACTGCCAAGCAGGTAAGCGTACACACCCGTCACTCGTAAGAGTGATTCCGGAGGCTCAAAGTGCCAAGCTCCTGTTGCTGCCACAGAAGCGTGGCAAGCATGGTGCTAGGCATATGACATATGTAATTGCGTGCCATAATCTTACAATGTGCTCAGTAAAAAAAGGACATCAAAAGGATGCTTTGCAACGGCAACAGGGACAAACACATTGGTTCAGTGCATGGCGCAACGAGGCTGCTGACACTTCTTGGCTGCGCGAAAGTTACTGAGTGTGCGCCGGTGCGGTTGCGTTGGAATGCTGCCAGGGACACACAGATCGTTTTGATCCTTAACACGATCTGCTGCGCTGAAACGGTGTGGGGCTAGATCACACACAGCGCAGCAGGTTCGATGGAAAGCTCTCGCAGCACCAGCACTCCGGTTCCGGAATCGAGATCGCAGCAGGATCTACAGCAACCGGTCACCCAGGGCTGAAGCAGGCCAAAGGTAAGCACCCTTCTGACTGTCAGGCACTGGAGAGTTTACTTGTGAAACACTCAGGCGCCTCAGAGGTTTTCAACCCAATTCTGCATTCTGCAGTTGGGGAATAGCCTTTATATATTAGATGTCTCCGATTGTGATGGTGCTGGTGAAGTGCCCCGAAAGCGGGTGTGGTCTGCTTGGAATGGGATCAGCCAATGGAGATAACGTCGAACTTTATGCGCTTGAACAGCCCTGCTTCAAATAGGCCCTGCCTAATGTTAAACATGCACCCTTCTTCCATTTGGCAGTCCATACATCTCATGCAAAACTTCCATTGCCAAAAATACATTGGAATCTACTTTTGGATCTAGAATCTAGAAATCCGTTCGTGGTATTGTGTCTATTTGAGCAATGTCATATCATTGCTATAGAAAAAATACATGTTTAAACAAACAAAGGAGAACAACAACACCAACACCCAAAGCATCTTTAAGCAGCAGGTAAAGGAGAACAACAACACCAACACCCAAGGCATCTTTAAGCAGCAGGTAAAGGAGAACAACAACACCAACACCCAAGGCATCTTCAAACAGGTTCCGAAACCTGAGGCGGTTTCTACGCCGGTTGTTTCACGCTTCCCATCCAGATCCGCCCAGCTACGCCCCAAGAGCATCCCATCGGGCACAAAGGAGCGGATCTGACGCGAAGGAGGCGAGGCGTTCGATGGTTCTGCGGTTCGGGGAGGGATCCGTCTTCGAAGGTTTGGGCCGGTTTGGGGAAGGTTCCCAAACACGACCTGTCTGGGACTGCCATAGGACTAGAAACGGCTAGGGGTGGTTGAAAAAGGGTCTTAGTCTGGGGCGGCAGTCCTATGGCAGTCCCATGGAGTGTCTGGGGTTGGGAGTTTGGAATCCCCAATTTTAGGGGGTCGAAAGGACCATCCGCTGCAGCAAACATGCCCTGCAAACATTCCCAGGTGAAACAACCATTCTCTGGAAGGTACGTCATCACCGCCGGCCCTCGGCCATCCGCGTCGTGTGGAGGTACCTGGACCCGGCAGTTTCTATGACCCAACAGTGGTGGAGAAACTGCCTGGGCCCAGGGGGGGATGTAGAGAGGGAGAGGGTGACACATCATTTCCAAGCTTGTCTGGTGTTCAATGCAGCATGACACATCCCCATGCATGACACATCGATGTAAAGGATAGGTTGAACCAATTCCAAGCCTATACAAGTTCCTGGCTTGGATGCCAAGTCCGGTCATCGTTTGTTTACAGTAAAAGTGACATGAATACCAATAACGGGGACACCTGTGAAGAATCCCTGACCTTCGGTGCCACATCCTACACTTAGAGTTGCTTCAGGAACCTAGAAGGAAAGAAACAACACATATTCCCAGTTCGGGAAATATAAGTAACCTGATCCGCAAAAACATGCAAAAAACTCGAACGGGACCCCAAGTGGCTCGGACTTCGCGGACCAAACTGTCTTTAATATATTGTCTACGACACATGTGACCACAATGTGCTGCATCGGATGATGATACAGGATGACCTTGAAACCTGCAAGTTTGGGAGGAGCAGTGTGTTTCAAGCGAAGCATGATTCCCTGAACCTTCCTTCGCTACAAAAAAAAGTGCTCGTTTTGCAAAAGTGCTCGTTCAAGCAAAAAGCGCTACAAACACTCAAAAATCGCACGTGGACCCCTCTCATATCCAACCCATGTTGGGGTGGTTCGCCACTTTTTTATTTGCGCTCGTTTTGTGGCAATTTGCGCGCGTTTTGCGGCATTTTGCGCGCATTTTGCGAGTTTCCACCTTTGGCCCAAGAAGACTTCAGTGTTCAACATGTTGAAAAAATGCTCGTTTCATTAAAACTCATTAAAAAGTGCTCGTTTCATCAAAAAACGCTACGAAACTCCAAAAAGTGATCATTTCCTTGGTTCGCCAGAAAAAAGTGCTACGATTGAAGGTTCAGGTCTTTTTGCTTTCGAAAGGACAGAGTACAGGTATTTTGGACCCTGGATCCCAAATCGATAACCTTCTCTATCTCTATTTGGAAGGTCACAAACCACATATGTTTGAACACTTTCTACACCCGTTTGGGCTCCAGTCGTACCGAACCCGTCTGGCCTGAGGTTCGATGAGCTCTTTCCTGGGCGCCGACCATGTGACCGTGAAGAGTCAGTGGGGATTTGCTGGTCTTGGTGGGACCGGGCCGGACCGGGAACCAATTAACCAACCATTTTGGGGAAACTAGCTTCACCACCTGGAGCAAAACTAGGGTGGGTAGGGCGAGGGCGGGTAGGGAAGGGATCTGGATCTGACTTTCGCAGCAGCTGCCTGAAAGGGAGGCTATACTGATCACTGCCTTTCTCACTGTGCCGAGAGTTGCGTCATCAATGCAGGCTTGAACATACCGCTTTATCCAAGAATCATGTTGTGCTTTAGAAACGTGGCAAGTGCAGCAATCTGGAGAGGGGCCGGGTCGAGCAATCTGGAGAGGATGTAAGAATATCAAGTATATATTTTGTTGCCCCAAACCCCTCCCTCAAAGATAGGCAAAGGGTTTGACGGGAAACTTCCCACCCACCCACACACACACACACCATGTCTCACCATGAATCCAGACCTTAAAAGCACACATTGGTGAATAGCTTTCCCATGATTTTACTCTATTTCTTTATCACCACGTTGGGAAATAGGTGTATTTGGCAAACACCAGTCAGTCGTTCCAACTCCAGTTTGGATTCAGCATTACACGGAGGGACTGCAAACGGACAAGTCGAACTACATCGTGAAAAGACTGTATCGCAGCATTTGTTCAGCATGTTCGTGGCCGGACTGTTGTTCTATCTGATTGTCGGACTGTACAGACTGTACAGACTGTACTGCGAAGATTTTTTCAGTTGCCACTCTGCATTGTAGGGGCTACAGTGCACAGCTTGTTTCGACTTTAACTGCCATATGCACAAGTTAACAATGCTTTGCTCGGCAGCACGCCTGCACAGGTAGGCGTAGCAATCTCTCTTTTCACATGCAAGTAACAAAGGCTAAAACCATGTGTACGTAAGCATATTATAGGAACTATACAGGACTTAGATCATTCTTTTGATCGTGATTTGCTTCGGTTTGGCAACCGCTTTACCTGGCCACGTCGTTATATAAACATGTATAAAATACATTGTTGGCTTGCCAATTTATGTGCCCAAGGGTATGGACGTTGCTGAGCGCAAGGGTGTATGCTGCAGGAAGTACTGGTCAGGACATGAACCCCAATCCAGACGTCGTTCTCATCCTCGCAACCCTAAGTTGAGTTGATTCAAGCCTACCAACTTTCTTAGCAACCCATCTTTCCCAGCAATGCTTCAGCTAGAAAACATGGGCCAAGAACTGCGACACACCGAACCCAAAACCAGTGGACTGGCGAGGCGTCCCCCTCTGTCTCTGGACAGGTGTTGGACTTGCAGTCGGTTTTGGGGCCCGTGGGCTTTCCCAACACACGGAACTAAAGTGTGGCTGTCTGGTTGCCTGGCGAACCCAAACTGAAGCAAAAGACTATAGGCCAAAAGTCTACATAGTTTCCGAGAAGGTGCTTGAGTAATGTTGTGAGATTTTTTTTGGGATGCTTCAAGAGGGTTTGGAAGGTCAACGACTGCCAGCTCGGTGGTTTGATCCCCAAATTGGATCACCCTCAAACAACCAAACCACCACCGCAAGCCATCTTCGTCTCTCTGCCCTTGCTGGTCGAGCCGCTGGAAGACGTCCGAGAGCTCGTGCAGTGGCACTTCGTTGATCCAGACCTGAACATGTCCGATGGCAAAAACAAGACGAAGAGGAACTCTAGGTGAAAATACGGCTGATCCTTGTTCTGGCTGAGGCTTCATGATTCGTTGTTGCATGAGTTACACTCCCGAAAATGAACATGGACCCGAGTCGAATGGCACCCTCAGTCCGACTGTTTTCCTCTAGAATGCAGTGGTTTTCAGGGTCCATGTTCGTTTTCAGCGGGGTATGTGATTTTTTTCTTCCCTGGTGACTAGGTGGCAAACAAAGACAAGCGACCCAAAAAGAATACCCGGGACCCATGGCGCTTGTTGAGAACATATTTTTCATTGAGAATCATAGAGGCCCACCCAAACAAGGTAGATCCATCTTCCAAAACTTGTGGAGCATCTGGAACGGTAGAAGGGCATCCTGGGAGCCGATTGATTTGAACAATCTGTCGTGCAGTGCTGTCGTTTGGGACCCATGGCCCGTCATGGCGCTTTTCGTCAACACACCGCCACAGGGAGCTTCCCACGCGTGCCAGGGAACCCTTGATAAAAGAGGTTTCAAGGGTTTCAAATCATACCCTGCAAGAAGCTTGACATCAAAAAACAGTCCAAAATCATATGCCTCGAAGAAAAAAGACATCAGCGACTGCATCACGTGCCTTCACAAAAAACATCAAGCAACTGCCGCAACCACTCCACAAGCCTCCACTACATCTCCCGGAATTCCCTTCATAACAACCAGCCACATCACAATACGTTTTAAAACTTCGTTCTACCACTCTGATCATCTCTGAACACCACGACGTCACGCCTCTGCTCCAGATCGACCCAACGCCAAGACACCAGGAAACGACGAGCATAGATCTGAATCACTCGGATGTATGCGGGGTTCGAATGGGCCACTACCTGGCAATATCTGCGGAGTCCAGTGCAAATCGCGCAAATCAGTGTGAAGGCAGCTAGGTAAAAAAAAGGCTGAATATATGCATACATGCACAAATACAAACACACATACGATACCATTGCAGTACACTACATCACACACACACACAAAAAAACAAACACATTCTTACCGTACATTGCGTTACAATACATTGCACTACATTTCGTACATACAAACGTACTGTACTGCCCCAATTCATGCACACATTATATTGCATAACATTACGCTATAATACGCTATAATTACGCACCATCACCATACCATACTATACCCAGCACATTGCATTACATAGTAGGGCCCAGGAGAGCAACATATCCAAACAAGGAATGTTCAATAGTCGTCATGTACTACCGCCTGGTGGATAGGAAAGAGCTTGTGAGATGGGTGAAGCGGAGCTTGTGAGAACCTGGCAAAAACAGGAAGACCCTTAGTGGAACCACCAAGTCCAAGTGGTCAAGTTCAACTTGTATGTGCGCCGGAGGGAGGGCACAACTGGCCAAACATTAACACTGCAGATGTTTTTCTCAAGTGCAAAAACCATCAAAAGCCCCTTCTGGATATACGGTTCTATATAGTGAAATGGTCATGGAAGTGGAAAGCCACCTGTTTGTAGTCTAAGGGCCCATGTTCAACTTCCACAACTTTTTCAGGGAGTGTAAATGATTCAAACCAACTGGCCCAGGTGTCTCGGATCTATGGGAAGCTCCAATGCCGCCAAAGACACACCCAACATGAAACACATGAAACAGAAGCAATCCAACCTTACCCAAACCACCTCCAAAACAAGAACCAACATCAAAAATTACATGCCCAACCATGTACAGTACCATCACCATGACCGGACCCTGTTTCGGAAGCCCTGGCGCCCTGTTTCGGAAGCCCTGGCGAACGTGACAAAAACCCGTGCTGTTAGACTCCACTCTCCGGCATCGCTCGCTTTTCGATCACAAGGCGTTCCGGTGGGGTTCTCGAGTCCGACAGCCGCCCGTTCGGTCGAGGTGACCAGGTTTCAGTGGATGGGGGGGGTTGCAGGCCTTTGCATCTCTACCAGCACCCTCCTGGCCAGGCTGTTAGTTGAGGGTTGTTGGACCCTAACAGGTCTCAATTGGTGACCTGTTGGAGGGTGCTGGTAGTGATGGTCTTGTGAAACCTGACGGGTGAATACAGGGTCAATTCGAGCCTCAGAAGGTCTCGACCGTCGACGGCGATGCTGGCCTTCTTGAAGGTCTCCGCGTTGATGCTGATCAACACCGACTCCCCCAGGGCCTCCGCCGTGCCTCGTGGAACAGGACGGCAGGCTGCACCACTCGTCGCTCGCTGTGCGGTGAAGACTTCGAAGTACACGAGAAAGGGGGTGTGAAAGGTGTAAGTTCACCCCCCAAAAATATGTGAGATCATACTCAATTTTACTGGTATCTTTTGCAAAAACCTGCAAAACCAATATGGGTTGTGTCAAGGCCTCCACTGTCCCAACCTTGCGACCAATTCACAAGCTGGTATCGAACAGATCTGTCAAGCTCGCCCACCCACTATACCCAGACACTCCCTGTCTGGGGCCGGCATATTTATATATATACTTACATTGAAATTGGGGAGGTTGAAGGCGGGGGTCCACAGATCGGCACATATTCCCCAGACACTCCGTGGGACTGCCAGGACGGACTGCCGCCCCAGAAAGACCCTCGGTTTGAGGTGTCGGTGCCTTTTGGAGGTGAAGAGGTGTCCAACCACCTGTTGGAAGGTCCTGGTATATGGCAGTCCCATTAGTCGTGTCTGGGGTCCAGTCCGCAGTCATATGGATACCCGTCCCATCCGGTCAACGCTCCACGCTCAACGCTGCGGCAGAGGTCCCACTCACCGCGCCTAGGTGTTCCCAGTTGGAAAGCCACAGCGCTGGTTCGGTGACCCAGTCGAGGTTCGCCTGGACGTACTCCTGGAGGACGCGGATTGGTCGTTCTGCGCGTGTGTCATGATGCGCGCGGTTCGAACGCACGGATCTCCAAATCACGCGCGTCTCGCACGGTTTGAGTCGTTCGTGCGGTGAGTGGGTTCGAGCTTCTCTGACAGCCAAATGGAAGGGAACGCTCGGGATCTCAGAAGCTTAGATATAGTGATGGGATGTCATCAATGTCATCCAAATACATTGATGTATCTATAGTCCTGGGTTCATACATGACCTCGAGCATCCCTTGGTAGCAAAGCACACTCCCTCATGTTCCAGGCAGGAGAAAAGGATCACCTGTGAGGAACACGGGTGACACTGACGTGGCGGAACCTCGAACATGTTCTTTCCCAACAGCGGTGGTGGTGGACATCCCACAAACGCCAGCTACGGTCGTGCCCACCGGATCAACTTGAGCGGGGGGGGCATTCAGTCCTTGTTCTCCAATCATGTGGAACACATATCGTCAGTGCCGAGTCCGAGAAATCTATACTATGTAAAATAGCTTGATAGTGTACGAAAGAATCTTCCAGCCAGTCTGGCGATCTTGTCCACACATTCCTACACTGCTGCGCTTGCGCAAGCGCCGTCTAGGTGGTCCTTATCTTCTTCGGACATGCTCTTCTTGTACAGGAGCCTGACACAGGCTGTCACCATTGACCGTGGCCGAGGTGGACCTTCCTATATAGGTCCACGTGCACTTGGTCCTGGGACCCCAAAAAGCCCCATTCGAACACTGGGGGGCAGCCTCACTTGACCCTGCATTGGTGGACTGTGCATCTAACCAAACAGAGAATATACCGCCTCCTTTGTACAAAGACCCCAGGAAGGCCAAACAACCGCCACTGACTGGATTAGGTCCAACTTGCTGGGACTTTGGAGGCCTACTAATGTAGACTCTTGTTGAATAACCACCCCCAAGAATATGGAGTGGTTGATTCATCAAGGGAGTCTACAACCACCAAAGCTTCTTCTTCTTGCGACCTCAGACCTCCCCGAACCCATAGACCTGGTGTCGACCTCCTGGAGCGTCGAGAGTCGACACGTCGAGCACCTGCTGACCTGCTGATTCGAAAGAAGGATCAGTCGTGCCTTCTCCGGTCGCAAATTCACCTGACCTAGCGCCCAGTTCTTCGCTCATGACTTCGTCGCCGTCGCCCAGTAACAGCGATGAGATGCCCGAGCTCCACAAAAAGGAAACACCCACGACCGACCCGAACAAATGCAGCCCTGCGACTGACCCGATGAGAGGAAATACATGGCTTCCGCCTAGAACGCAGGCGTCGACAGTGGGACATGGTTGCGACATGGGATGATGGGGCCATCCCTGGAACACTTGAAATTCGATTTTCTAGGCCCGGGTGGCCAGGTTTTTGAGCGAAGGCAGATTGATCAATGGTTCACCTCAAGAATCTGGACCACATGTCTCCTGAAAGCGAGCATATGCCCCTCAATGTCCATCTTATCCGCCCTGGTTCGGGCGATCATCCCCTAGGCAATGAGCTTTTGGAGGGATGGGGAGGGGAGCCCCAGCGTTTAAAAGAACAAGCCGAGTCTGGATGAGAAACAACAACTCGGAGACATGCGAATGACATTGACATCGGCCAAGCCCTGGGCTCTGAGATGATTTGACCACGGGTTAAAGGATACCATCGGATACCATGAAGGACTGACTCTATAGGTCTTCATCCTATGCACTCCCTGAACTCCCATAAACCATTCTTTAACGGAACTGAGTACGTACTGGACCGTTGGTGCTTTCTGGTCTCCCTTCCCAGAATTCACAGGAACTGGAACCGCTTGACTGCTCTTGACTGCTCGTCTGCCATGCTTTTTGGGCTTCCACCACAAAAAAACAACAGTCCACACAGCGGTGGCTCTTTGGGATGGCATTGCTTGCCTGGCTTCGGTGTCTCGTCGCTCCTCCCCCCCCCGTTGCAAGGACGGATGTGGCCATCCTGTTCCCCGGAGACGAAGAGGAAGTCATTGTGCGCCAATTGCTTGGTGACCAAGGCCTGAACAGCTCTGATTCAAGGCTCCATGGTTCGTTTGCGGGGGTCAGACCCCCGACTTCTTTGGACCCGGAGGTCGTCCCCTCATCGCCGTCCTCGGGATCCAGTCGGAAACTCAGGTACGGCACCCGACGCACCCGGGCCCCCAGTCCCACCTTCTAAGGTTCGGTACGACTGGATCCCTAGGGATCGTTGTGGATAGTTGCAGGCTGTTACAGCCAACAACCTGCGAGGCCTTCTGGCCCGGCTCGTTTGCTTCGTTCTTGTATGAAACGATGGGAGTCCGTTCGGCCATTTTTACAACTTCATTTTGTGCTAAATCCTTACAGTAAACAATTTAAAGCAATGGTGGTCTGAATCCTAGGGTATATACTATTGTCGTCCCATGCTCTACCTACAAATCGACTTGAAAAATATGCAAGTGATATTCTGAGCTGCAAAACGATGAACACATGTTTTGAGTTTCTGTGCCATGCCAGTCAGTGAAGACCCCGCACTGACTGGCCTTCCGGACTTGCCTAACCTGGTTAGATGGGCTTACTTCGCTTGCTCTGGCGACCTGTGTCACGTCAGTCTGCAAGTAGTTGGATGGAAGTAGTTGGATCTTGTTTTTGTCATACTTCTCAATAGTTGTCATAGAGCTTTCCCCAACAAAACATCCAAACTACATGATCCACCATGAGTTGCCATGAGTTGTCATGGCGCTTCCACCCCTGGGCTGGCGATTAGAATTAGACGCAGCTCGTGCCTTAGTGCAGAGCCGCTGTAAGAGGATGGTGGCATAGGCCTCCATGTTCTCAAAGAGAGGGTGGATGATCTCAGCAATCCGAGAGCGCTTGTGGATGATCTCGCCACCGCGTTGAAACACCACCGCGCGGTCCGATTGTCCGCGCTGACCAATGGCTGGGGAAAGCCAGAAACACCAATGGCTGGGACAAAGAGCGCGAACATGCAAGAAGCGAATCGCAGTTTTTAGCCAAGACCATTCAGGACATAGGACAAAGAACTGGCAAATCTCTGGTCCAACGCAACCTGGTTTGGCGAGATCTCTCGATTTCTGCCGAGAGGCCAAGAAGGGCTTGTTCATCTCAAAGGCGAGTTCCCCTAAGAGCTGTTCCTCATGTTCACGTGGAATGGAAAATGCAAACACACAAATGTGGCAAGCAGGCCGGGGCCTTTTCATGTGTGGCTTGGTTTCCAAACGGTGAATCATATATGTTTACAATGCGCTTCTGGTGCTACAGGCAAAATAGCTACTGTACCAATTTATCCTGAAGCAGCCATCTTTGTCGGTGCTTTGCAACAAAACACCAACAAAAAGCAAGGACTCAGCATGCCACTATGCGAGGCTGCTTGGTAGTTTCAAGAGACCGTTTGGCAGGCAACGGTCCACTTCCGTTCCAAAAACATGTTCGACAAAAAACCTGTTCGAATGGCCAAAGCCAAGTGCCTTTGGGATCACCCAACCAAACCCACGAGTTCCACGCCACAAGGCAGATCATACATACAGACCTGTTGAAAATCTGCTCTGGCGTCCCCGAAGCCAAGCTGGCTCAGCTTATGGTTGCCATGGGTTCAGGTACGAAAGTGCTCACAAAGTAGTCAGGTGATTGGATCACCAAGCTCACATGCTCCATGATACTAATATTAAACCAGGTGACTAGGTTCCACAAATAGTGTTTCTTGTGGTGTTTGCTTAATTATGTACCATGACAGGAAGCAGGCGGCTGTTGAGTCTGGCACGAAGCACCTTCAAAAGTCACAGAAAAAAGCAAACATCACATAACGAAACATCGTCTCAAAGCTTCTTCTCATATCTTCAGGCACCTCTTTGACATACACACACCAAGAACATCAGCACTCAGCCACCTGGCATCACCTGGCTGACTTCTCACCGGCCACCGAGTGTCCGAGACCAAGTTTAACAAGGTCACCTTGCTCATGGGCATCGCCTCACAGGCGGAACCCGCGCGTACGCGCACCGCGTAAGCCGCGGAGTCTCCGTGTGTGCGCGGTGCGTCGTGGGACGACGTCCCTCGAGGCATCGGATGATCAGGACACCATTTCACAACAGAGAGGAAAAGAAGAACAAGAACAACAACAACAACAACAACAACAACAACAAGGTACAAACAAAAACTGCAGCCCCGTTACAAGATATCTTGTTCCTTTGTCTCTACAAGGGGGTGGAAACAAAATCTGCAACCCCGTCGTTGTTATTTTGACCCCCCCCCCGAAAACAACCAGCCAACATGTAATTTTGTGCTTGTACCAGTTCTAGTACTAGTGGTTCTAGTACTAGTAGTAGTCGTTGTTGATGTGGTAGTAGTAGTAGTAGCAGCGGCAGTAGTAGTGGTAGTAGTGAGTAGTGGTAGTGGTAGTGGCAGTAGTAGTAGTAGTAGTAGTAGTAGTAGTAGTCGTGGTGGTGGTGGTGGTGGTCCGGGCAGCTAAGCCTCTGTAAAACTTCTACTTAGAACCTCTACCACATCCTAGAGACAAAAACTGCAGCCCCGCTGTTATTTTTTTGAACCCCCCCCTCAGAAGATGTTGTTGTCTCTACCCCCCTAGAAACAGAATCTGCAGCCCCGTTGTTGATTTTTTTGACCCCCCCCCTCCAGAACAACATCCCAAAAAACATCAAAAAACAAGAAACCGACCAACCAAGACTTGAGTACCACAACGACAAGAAGTCCAGCTACTAACATCTCTCCAAACCTTCGACCCTATCCCTAACAGTGTCCAATTGAAATCCCTAACTTGCAACATGTGACAACAACAACAGCAACAACAACAACAACTCCAGATAGTCTTGTTGTTGGTGGCGCCCTTGCACTTACATAATTTACAAATATATATGATAGAGATTAATTATAGATGGTTCAGGTTTTAAAAGGTTCCAGCAGCCAGCAAGTGCTGTTGATCAAGTGCTGGAAGGATGGATGGTTTGGAGCCGGACGTCAGACTCAGTCACACTCGGTTAGATGTCGCTGGTAAACCTAAAAACTCGCCGAACCAAACAAACAGCATTGTTCAAACAGGGCGAGGCGCGTGGCGTGTATAGTGTGTGTTCATTCTCTTCAGATCGAATCTGATGAAACGGCCAGTCAGTTGCTGAGGGGGTATCTCTTGTGGAAATCGATTAGGTATGTTGCTTGCACATTTCCTATGCACCAACTGCCTGACAGCAAAAGGATCAAACATCTGGTTGGATGGATTCACAGGCTAAGGATACGTCTGCTGCTGCTGCTGCTTAACCTGAGATCATGTATTGTGGTAACTTGAGTTTTGTCCGACAGGGTGCGGCAAACCGGGTCGCTCGTGGAGTCTGTCATGAAACTCATGAAAAAAAAAAAAAACACAAAGTAGCTGAAGGCTGATGACCCCCCTTCCATATCCCCTGACCAGAAAACCATCCCACCCATCCGAGCAAGCGGTGAAGTGACTGACCTGGCCTCCCGCTGCTTGCTGTAGGCATGCTCTGCAAACTTCGTCACCCTCAGCGCCAGCTGCCGAGGGACCTCAGCTGCTACAAGACAAGGAATTGCGAGGCGCTTCACCAACAAGTGCAGGTGGTCAGTTGGACCACCCAACAGTTGAAAGCATTTCAAGAACTACCCTGCATTTCAAGGCAAATGACAACCCGGTAACCCTCTATCATGCTGATACTTATGAATACTTGTGCTAGTCAGTTGCTGACCCTTCTTGCTTTTTCGTGCACACACCGCGGCACTCGTGCCAAGTTTGCTTTTCGCACGAGAACGTGCCGTGCCACGCCGGGACGGTCGTTCGAGACGACGTCCTCCCCCTCTGCATCCGGTGGGCATTGTGCATCCGCATGAAGTTCCGCAGCTTCCGGAACTCCTGGGAGGATTGGGCGGAGCTCCCGGACGCGAACGGGGCCAGAACGCGAAGCGACGAACGGAGCATGTCTGGGGGTGGCAGTGCTATATGCATTTGCGAAACCGAAACGGAGCGATCGGAGGCTACGAACGGGGCGAAACTGGCGCGAACCGAACGGTCACTTCCGGACGCGAAGCAAACGGAGCCAACGGTCACTCCATGGCACTCCCAACGGTTCAAAGCAACAAGGGAGGAGCATAAAAAAAACGAATCTGTGGAGTGATTGAAAGCACCAGAGACAGTATGTGGACTTAGATCTTAACCAGGATCCAGTCGTACCGAACCTCAGGTACGGCACCTGGACCTTCCAAACCCACCCCAAACACCTTCTGAGAAGGTACTTGGATCCCCAGGGTAAAAGGACTTCTGTATAGGGAAAGAGTTTTGATGAGATCGGCTACTAAGAGATCTGAAGGCTGTCTCCCGGCCTTCGAAGAGGTCTCCGACATATTTCGCAGCCTTGGCTGATGCGAACGAAGCAGCGGCCCCCCCAAAAAGGGGAGGGATTCAGAGTGCAGGCTGTATGTGAAAAACGAATTGTCGTGATTATTTACGTTTTCTTTTTTTTTACGGTTTTCCCAATGTTTTTACTATGTCATGTTCACTTTTTGGTGCGATTCATTTTCAAACAAACGATGACCAATGTTCATCTGTACGTCTTTTGAGCCCGTCTCCCATGTCCAAAGCTCCTTCTAAATGAGAATGTCCTGCTTTAGAGATCCGAAACCACTGGTGGGCGGCACGCCCTTGACAGGTGTCTTCGGCACACTCAGGTAGCATCATGTAGCATGCTGCGCCATGTTGAGGAAAAAAGAGCATTTTGCAACATCTGGGCAGCCATATCTTCACTTCATGATTTCTACAAATTCTAGACTTAGCTGGCAACAAGGTGGGGTGAAACGCTTGGTTGAATCCCGCCCCAACTTTGACCCTTACCAGGTCAGCTAGACGTTGAAATGTTCGGAATCACTTGGACAATGAGTTGCACAATTACGGGTTGAAGAAACTTCAACTGTCAAAGTCCTTGCTGAAGCAGCAACTCACTCAACGAGTACAGCAAGGGCGCTAAGGGCTATGTAGCAAAAAAAGCACTCCACAAAAACCGATCCAAATCCAATTTCCCACCGGGAAATCCTGTCGGAATCCTCCCAAAAGAGCTCAGAAGGAGCTGGGGAATCCTGGTCTTTGCTTCGCACGGGCTCCCTGGAACTCGGGCCCGGGCTGAGTGAGGCAGGAGCTAATGTCGCCCACCACGTAGGAGAAGCCAACCAAGGCAAAGATCACCACGCTGATGGTATAAGCACCTACATCAAGAGTCAACATCGAGTCAAGTCAACAAGAGGCGCACCTAAACACTTTTTGCACCTTTTTGGGGTGCTTTGGAGCTTGGCTGTCAAAATTCAAGCCGACTCCACTGATTCATGGTTGGGAAACCTATCCACTGTGTAGGTGGAAACCTATCCACTGACTGCGTAGGTGTTGACATTCATTCCTGGACTAGCTAACGGAGTTTCATTTTTTCAGGTTGTGGGTCTGAACATGTGTGAACATGTGTGAACTGGCAGCTCATGACTGGTCATGCTTTTCTTTTTTTTGGAATCTCGCATTCACCAATTCGACCGGCTCGGCCGACATGGAGTCTCTCCCAATTGAAACTTAAACCTATAGACCCACCCCATGAGGTCTAGCGAGCCGCTCGGCCAGCCTTGCTCCAGTCTTTCGCCATAAAATCATGCGACTTGGGACTCATGCGACTCAGATCACTCAAGTCAATTGAACCGTTCGAAGGGGTGGACTGAAGCTCTTCAGACATCAAAAGTCAGGCAAATGTTCAGGGAATTGATCTGGTCCATGGATCCTCAAACAGCAAAACAGTCCAACATCCCCCTCGCTTCCAACGGGCACGTTCCAAGGGGTTCTGCGGTTGAACATCCATCGCTGCAGGGGTGAACTGCGTCAAGGACCAGTGCAAAGCGACCTCGGAGAGTGAAGTGCAAAAGCACTTTTCGAAATAGGCCGATAGCCATAGCAGTGGGGTTGCTACTGGAGAGAATGGTATGATATGGCAGAATCACCCAAGATTTTGCCAAGAGCAGGAATCACGAGCACGGATCTATGTAAGGATAACGGCGGTCCTCGCGGTTCTCGCCTGACCATCCTCTTGAATTTACTTTCCCCCCTCAGAACTCTTATCTCAAGTTCTGAGACGGCTCAACAGAAGGTTTTGGGAAAAGCATTGTCACTGACATGGTCACTCTCCACCTACACAACCCGCCCACACCAGGAAACATCGATCATCTCCCTCCTCGACGTCCCAAGAAACTCTTGAGTTGCGCGTTTCTGTTCTCCCTTGCGGCCGCTTGCGGCTGGGAGTCCATGTAGGCATCACGCCAATCACTGCCAGGCTCCACATAGCGATCGGTCCAGGAGGTCTTGTAGGAACCCAAGGTCGTGGTGGCAAAGAACACACACGCCTCCGGAGGCGAACCGGATGAATGGGCGCGTAGGCGTAGGGCGGGGCCAGGGCGTGCGTGCTTGGCGCTCTCAGCTGGCACGTTTGCCAAGGCAAAGGTCCCGGTGTTCTAGAAGCAAACTGGGCCAGGGCGAAGTGAGTGCAAGTTCCCAACTTTACTTCAGACTGAAGTGGTCCGCGCTATGGAAAAAACACCTGATCGACCTGGGGACATGAGAAGTTCCGCACGACCTGGGTGGATGCATCCCCAACTTGTGGGAAGGTCCAGTAGAATAGCTCCCACGACCCCCCATCCCCGTCCAAAGGATCGAAAGCTATCGTGAGCCCAGCAGCAGCACCCCCCCCACAATCCGAAGAGCGACCCTTGCTCTTCGGATCAGCGATCTGGAGCGAGAAGTGGCCCGTCTGTGTGGGTCCAAGCAGCAATCACGTGGTTCAAGTACAGCAAAATGGCCATCATCTGTGCGACTCTCCTGATGGGAGAGAAGCTGCTCACATCTTGGAACAGGCCGCGAAAGCCGAAGGCGCCGAAATGGGCATCCCAAAAAGCATCCGGCGATTACCCTTGGGTGCTGAGACCTCTGTTCGCCCCCCCAAAAAAAAGACACAGTCACTTCAGAATGCCAGGCACTGCCAGGCACATACCTCCCAATGGATACATTCGAAGTAAGACTTACACCTGAGGCAACACCACTCAGTCAGGCTAAGCCAATCTCCAAAGGAGTCTGAATTGGTCGGAATTCCGCGTAGACCATATCCATACCCTGCCTCAATCATATCGAAGCGCAAAACTCGTGCGGCCAACCGAACTCCGAAAAAGCAGGCGCGCTGGTCAGCTTCGACTGAAAGCAAAGACCAATCCCAGAGTAGCAGCCAAAAAGCGCAAAAAAAACGGTGCCAGGTTTGCGGAGTCTCCGGAGTTCTTTTCTTTTGGTTCCCGCTGGGAGGAGCAGAAGCCGAACCGAGACTGGTCGACTCGCTTGACTCCGAGCGTCGCGACGATACTGGTGTAGTCCGACATGGGGATGGCATCGCCTGGACCCGGCGGACCGGGTGATGCCGGGGACATCCCCTGCCCCTGTTTCGTTGGGGGACAGGATCAACCGGGAAAAAGGTAGAAGGGGAAAGGCACAGTCACATGGAGCTTAGGTGCTATGCATGGAGGTTAGGGGTGTCCATTATCCACTCACTTAGGGGCTAAACACCACCCCATCTTGTGACTTCTGGTATAGAAGTTACTTTGGTTCTTTGGTGGTTTTGAATTGCTTGCTGAATAGGACATCATCTCACATCACCCTAGCGCGTTGTACGACCACTTCGAGGTCTTCAAAATGGCTCTGGCATGCGCACCCAGAACAACATGAATGCATCCTACCCTGTATAACCCGCTGCAGTTGGATGAGCTGGGATGAGCTGGCAACAAGCTTCACAAGCTCTGAGGGGCTTGAAGGCGATCATTCAAAGCTTCAATAGTTATTCAGATCATGTCCTCTTTTGGCACAGCTGCCAACCTGGAAATCTATGTCTGCCAGAAGCCTGCCCAAACAGGAGGGGCCTCTTGTGAGCTGTGCAAAGTGGAAGATTTGGTCTCAAATGATCATGACGATTCTTGGATGAAACGATGCGGGAAGTTGGACTTGGAGAAATCTATGGATTAATCTGGATTTATCTTGGCGTCTAGAATGGGAGCGCAGCGTCTCGTCTCTATACCAAATGCATCCAAGTACGATAGGTCGCCTATTTGCAATCATTGTTTAATTTGTCTTAGTCTTAGTCTTAAACTTCCTGTGTGTAACCATGTCCATTCTTTTAACAACATATGAACATCCACAGCTCACAGCCACGGCCCTTTTGAACAAAACATGTCCTGGGTCTTACACCTCCCCACACGGAAATGAGCGCCTATGGTCTCCAGAAGCCACTTCACTTTCAGCAAACCTCCGTCAGAGGCCATCGCTGGCGCATCGTTCAACGACGTGGGGTCCGACGGGAAGAGGTGAGTTGTGTCTGGGTGACGAGGTCCTTCTTCCGAGGTGGTTCCCGAGTGGGTCTTGCCGGTGTCACCGCCGGACCATTGACGCTTCGACCTGTTTCGACTTGATTGGTGACGTCAATTGGGGCACTTCCTCCCAAAAACATCCCAAAACGGTCACATGTCATGTCGACAATCGGACACCTTAAACCAAGCTGGCACGGGGTGATCACCCACCGATGCCCACCGATGCCGCCATCGTCCTCGCGTCCAAGCGACGCAGCAGCCGTGCCACGCGCACCACCCGGAAGACCCGCAGCAAGCGCATGGACTCACTGCCCGAGGTGCCCACACTCCTGGGGCAGAGAGGCGGGATGAAGCCAGGTCCAACCAAGCCAGCGGTGTGTTTGACGCCAGAAAGGCGTTCATGTAGGGCTCTGCAACTCTGAACTGGTCTCCAATTTGGGGTTCTTTTTGATAAAAACATCTTAGATGCCTATATATGATTGATAAGTTGTTATTATCTATATTTATCATTATTTATCTATGACTGGTGAGTCCATTTCCTTCCAACAAAACGGGTGGAAGGCCGTCTGTTTCATCCAATATGACCACTTGCTTTTAATTCCAATATGTAGCTCCATGTGTGTAGCTCGTACGACCTGGGAGTGTAGCTCGTGGCAGCCTCTGCCTCTTTCTCGGTCCAAGGTACCCATCAGAGCTTGTCCCGCTGGCTGCCGTGGCATAGGCCATGATCTCCAAGGTCCAGTCAGGACCCAAGGTCAGCACGTCGATTAAAAACCACCTGAGGAGAGAGATAGCAGCGAGAGATAGCAGCCCTGGGCCCAGGACTTGGACCCATGAAAACATACAAACATACACATACAAAACACCAGGTTTTTTGATAGGGAATGCCAGGTTTTGAATGGTTGGGTGGGGCCCCTCAAATTCAGCGACTGACTGATATCCGTGGGGACTTGATGAGCAAACATCTCTTGCAAGTTTAAGACACCTGCTATGTTCCCATTATTTGTTGAGCCAATTCTCCGCGGAATTAGTGTGTGTGTGTGCACACGGGAATCCTGCTAGAGGGGTTGTCTGAGGACTGGAGTGGCTTTGGCTTTCCGTCTGGCGAACGTGAGCGAACTGAACAACTCCATCACTTGCGGGTTGGCCAAGGTGGTTTGAGCCTGCGGGCCACTGCGGGCTTTGTTGTTTGGCCCATCCTGGTGGCAAAACCCATTTTGAGCACCTTGCTCCAAGCAAAAAGGCACGTTGGTGAGTAACGACCCTACAAGGAAGACACATGTGGCTCACTAGGATCATCAGTGAAAAACAAACTATAGCTGGAAATGGCTGTACATTGGTGAAAGCAGCATCGGCAAAGAAGTTGCTATGTGCTCTTGATATCGCGTGATATCACTAGAAGAGCTTAGATATCTCTTGGCCCCCTGTCTCACATATTTCCCCAGTTGTCGGACATTGTTCGGGAGACCGGACATGCAAACGGCTCAGTTCCAAGGCTCTGCCAAGTCTGGCTTTTTGTGCGGTGAGATGTGGTTTGCGGTTTTGTGGTTTGCGGCTTAGTTTGCCTCCCGGGCAACGGTGTTCTCTTTTAGAGCCGCGCGCTATTTCCAGGAGCCATCCATCCACCGCTGCGGGACTCCAGCATGTGCGGTGCGGCCACGTGTTTTCGTCCAAGAGACGTCTTCAGGTAGTTCTTCAGAATCTCCTTGGGCGACAAAACCTCTTGACCTTCCCGCACGAAGCCGGTGGTCAGCGTCGCACCTGGCCGTGAGCCATGAGGGCCGGGCGGTGGTGGAGGAGCGGCCCAAATGGGCTGCAAAACATCAAACCTGTGGAATTTGTTCGTGTGCTAGTGGGATCTTTTGGATCTCTCTGTCTCTCTTTCTCTCTCTCTCTCTCTCTCTCTTTTTTTTCTCTCTGAGGTGAAGTATTCAAGTTGGCCCTGCGGCACACCACTGGCCTTAGACCCCCATGGTTGGCTTTTTAATCAACAATCTTTAACCAACCGCAGCCTGTTACATGCTCCAACAGAATAACCTCAACCTCCCACACTCTGGCGATGAGTCTCCGGATGGGAACTATTTGAGGTGCAGCTGAAAGTCCAACGTTCAGTGTCCAATAGATCAGCGTCAACCTCGGTGCGGCAGCGGCACGAGTCCAGCTCGGCCCTGCAAGGCGCTCGAGGGTGGAGCGCCACCGTGCTTCGAACTTTTAGAATGCATTTTCCAGGGGTGGTTTCTCAGAGTTCTATGAACGTCAGAGACCATTGTTGACTCTTCAGGCTCCCAAAAAGCCGTGCCCAAATTGCGAAAAGGCAATCTTCTTCGGTGAGTTTGCATGCATCAAGGAAAACACCATCCTTCCCAGCAGCTCCATGGGACTGCCATAGGACTGCCGATCAAACCAGACCCCCCGACTTCCACCACCCCGACGCCCCGTCCGCCCGGAACGCTCGGCAGGTCCGGCCGATCCCACGCGACCGTTGCTCACTCCTCCAGATCGCTCTGGGACGGACCTGTCTCGACCTGATCCAGTCGTACCGAACCTCAGGTACGGCACCTGGACCGGGTCCGCCCCCCAGGTCCCACCGAACCGACTGGATCCGGTACGACTGGATCCGGTCGACTAGACCGCGACGAAGCTCGGCGGGGCTCGTTTTGGGCCGAGGTGCCAATTGGCCACCAAGCTGAAGGGACCCTCCGGAGGATCGAACACGTTCAAAGGAATGGCCTCGGAGAGTCCACACCAGGTGAGACCAGGTGAGTCGTGAGGTCGACATCGTTCGGCTCGGGCTTGTGGTGTTTTCGTGTTCCAGGAGCGTAACTGGACCTCTGCCCAAGTTGCTCAGGCCTTTCAGTGACCTGGCATACAATCCAAGATGCTCTCGCCTCGCCTAACGTGTTAGAGCCCAAAAGGCCTCCAATGTTGGAGCGATTCTGCAGTGCTTCCCAACTGATGAACATCATTTTGTGGGGCCTTCGGGCATCAGCACCACAAAACCACGCGATATCAATCAATCAATCAATCTATTTATCTGTCTATCTATCTGTCTATCTATCTATCATGTATCTATATTATGTTATCGTGTCTTATCTCATCTCATCTTATCCTATCCTATCTTATCCTATATATCCTATCTTATCCTATCCTATCGTATCTTATCTATCTATCTATGTCTCTTCATATCACATTACATCTTATAAATATATACCTAGAACCTGAATGACCTCCATTGTCGACCACCAACCACCAAAAACTTATCATTTCGTATCAAAACAGTGGTCATTTTTTTGTAAAATCATCGTTTTTGTTGGTCAGGATCTTGCCAAGCCAACTACAGCAGATAGAGTTCCTGAAAAATAGGTCAACCTCTATGGGCCTTGTCCCTGCACTGCCTTTTTGGTAGGGTATCTATATCCTGTCTCCTTGATGTCCTCACACTTTTTTCTACACAAACGGAGGGCAAAAAACCGTGGTCCCTACTACCCAAAAGAAACAAAACTATCACAGTGTAGAAAGTTATTCCTTTTGACAAATTCACCGCAATACCGGAGCATGAACATGACGAATGGGAGCAATTACGACGTTGGCTGGCTGGCGCCAGCTGGAATTTTCTCATGGCTCAGGTGGACAAACGTCATGCCCGTGCGAAGTCAGTCGAACCAGAAGCCCTTGGGTCCGGACCCAGCAATCGTAGATGATGAAACACAATCCGCCTAGGTCCAGCTGTGCGCGAAGTATTTCTTGTTTATATTTTTAAAAGACTGCAACCATCCAGTGGTCCAGTTTGGTGGTAAGCATTGGAACATCTTCCAAACGGTAATTGTTGATTGGTACGGTATAGTGGTTCTTCCCACCCTATCTCTTTGCCGCCGCAGGGCATCCAGTGCAAACATGGCAACAAACAAAAATGACACAACCACCCCACACTTAATCACACTTACAAACACAAGCATCTGCCATCTTCCTCCGGCCAGTGGCCACACCCTAGAAAGAAGCAGCGTCCCGGCAGTGGCCTCACATGATAGCAACAACAACGATTGACGCACAAAATAGCAAAAAAAAAACAACATAACCACAACACAACACCTGACAATACACGAGGACAACCAATACAACAAACAGCAAACCATCGGCAAACAATGACACAAACACACAAAGGGGCAACACCAACAATTAACCACAACAATGCTTTGACCGCACACATAGTCAGACACACAAACACGACCGCATGTTCAACAAGCAATGACACACATCATGTGTTAACCCCATGTGTAACCACAACACCTCCCCAGTCACCCGGACTGGAAGATCTCCTACCTCTGGGCTGGGAGATGTGGGGATAGCCATCGGATAGAGAAGAACTAAAGAGTGTGCTGGTGAGCCCAAGGATCACCAGTCACCCAACCAGTTACTTCTGAAAAACCAAGTTCTTCTTCAGTGAGCTGTCTGCTAGACTGTATAGATGCTTTACTAGCCTCAAGAGCGGCTCATGAATGAGTGGAACGCTTTGCAACGGATACAGCAAAGAACAACCGCTGTGCGTTCTGCACACCATTGGACCTCCAGCCACCCAAAATATGGTCCAACTCCCCATCAAAACAGGGGTCATGTTTGGGTTCCAGGATGATATGCGAACATCGGCAATCCTTGGTCGATCCAACCTTCCACTGTGTGGGTCGATCCCCAAAATGACCGCGAGACTAGGCCCCTGTCGGAGCATCATAAGGCCTACCAATTCCTCACCGAAATATCGTCATGTGCATGTCCTTTTTTAACTTGAAGCCTCTTTGGCGGTATAGGCGCCGGGCAGATGAGTTGCGGCATACGGTTGGTGCAAGCTTTCACACCTGTGCGCTGTTGACCTTGAATTGTTGAGCCTTTGGGAGCTTATGTGCTGCTAAATTCTGGAATCGATTTATCGGGTTACATGCTTAGCACTTGGGACGAAACAGACTGTAATTTCATCCAACCAGAAGGAAGGTCCTGGTATAGATAAATCCTATTGCGCAAAGTCTCCGTGTGGCGCTTTTTGGCCTGTTGCTTTGACAGCCTGCCGCTTTTTGCCCACACTTCTGCGCCAAGCGGCACAAGTCCCAAAGCAACCGTTTGCGGTTGCCCGGACGTGCAATGAAGCGGGACACTGTGCCTGAAGCACACGGACGCTCGGTCAGTTGAGTGACAAGGATTGATTAGGTGTAGCTGCGGGAGTGACCAGAATAGAAGCAAAGCAGCAAAGACCGAACAAAATGAGAAGCAAATCCTGGCTTTAGACCACTTCTAGTTCCATTCTTCAGATGGAAACAGTGCTGGTGCAATTTCTCAGCCACCCGATGGTCTTGAGTCGCGGGGTTGCCTCCCTCAACTCTCTGGTGAACCAGACCAATAATGGATTCTGTTATTTTCGAAGTAGTCTGGTTGCTTGCTTGTGTCTTGCATTTCTGAGGTTGGTCGACTCTTTCTTGCTGCGCAAGCCGCACAACCACAAGTTTTGGGGGGCTAGGTCCCCAGTAGTAGTCATTCCCTAGGGCTCCAGTGGTGCCTCTTCAAAAGGTATTTGGACCCTCTAAACCCACCCCAGTCCCACCTTCTCAGAAGGTACAACTGGAGCCCCAGGGCTTAGTACAAAAAACCCATAAAATCACTCCCTACATCTCTCCCACCCATTTCGACGCCTTGGTAGAGCTCCGTAATACCCAATGCCTGGGCCCGTCAGCGGGGTCCGGTTGGGGACGGCATACCGCCAGGTCTCACGTCTCAGTGAGAAAAAGCATGCAACACACACACACACAAGCACGCTCGCAGGCACATGTGTATATAGTATAGATGTATGTGTGTCTGTAAAGATATATATATATAATAAAATATATATATATATGCATATATATATATATCCATATATATATATATGCTATAACTGTATGTGTATAGTATGTATGTACGTATTCGGCCTCTTTTGAGATGCTGGCCCTAGATACTGCCGATGTTGCTGGTGAAAACCACGCCCCAAATGGGGCGTGGAAAGCTGGTGCACTGTGAACGTGTGGAGCGAAATGACCTCCAGTTTCACTGGTCCACAAGCATTCCGGTCCATAGAGTCATCTTCATTGGCCCAAACAGGCGTTTCATTCTCCACGGCTGAAGGATCTTGAAAAAACCCTCGCACTCCCTCCTTCTTTTCTGCTCTTAGTGACACCTTTTTTTCGGACACCCCATACACTCCATGGGACTGGAATAGCCCTGAACCCCCGACTTCCACCCCAGCGCCCGGCCCGTTTTGGGGGACCTCTCTGGATCGAAGGGACGCCACCCGTCGCCGCGGAGCGTCGAACCACGGCCACCCCAGCGTCGATCCCGTCCGCTCGAACGCCCTTGGTTTGGGGCAATGGGGTGATCGACAAATATCGTTGGAAAGCGTTGGAAAGCCTTGGCAGTCATGCATGCTGCATGTGTGGGTGTGGAGCCCACATGCAGCTGATCTTGAAGAAAGAGTGAACCGTTCGCACAAAACACAACCACCACCCCCAACCCCCTCCACACTCACCAACCAAATGACCTGAACCCCACGCCCCCCTGTGTACCCGTGATCTGTGTGGTTTCATTCCGCTCTCTTGACTTCACTGGGCTCCCAGACTGCGCCCTTCATGGTGGGCCTCAAACGCATGGGCATCGATGTGCTCATGGACGAGGGCGGGGGCACCGCCAAGGACTTCCGGTCGCTGCGGCTCTTGCGCATCCCCTCGTCCCTCCTGAGGCGAGGCTTGGGAACACCGCGGGGGACCGAAGAAAGCGGCAGAAACAAAACAACATGAAAGCAGCTTAGCTATAGGCTTATATATATGATACTGTATTCAGGAGACTTAAGCTGTGATCATTTGTATGCATTCCCTTCCTAACCAGTGACCAGTGACCTGGCCAACAAGAAAACAATGCCAGTACGCTCCGGCTCCAGTCCCGGTCAAACCGTCGCTTTGGGGACTTGGTCTGTCCGTCTCGGCAGTGGTGTCCGTCGACAAATGAGGAGAAAGACATGTTGTGAAGAGGGGGTCACCACATCCAGCACCCTAATCGTACTCCGAATCGTCTTGGAAAAGAGTTGCTGCAAGCACTTCCTAGCCAGTGCTTGAAGGCCGGGGCTTAACTGGCAATTGTCGTCGCTCCGGGCTGAAGGCTCCGGCTGTGAGCATCAAGGACCTTCATTCTTTTATAGCTACTAGCAAGGACACGACTAGTAGCTCCTGGCATCGCTACTGGGAGCAAGGACCCTACTAGGGGCTCCTAGCCGTACTAGGACCAATGTTCGCTACTAGGAACAAGGGGCATCTGGCCCCAGACTTCGTTGATTTTCATTTTGAAGTAGCTTCGGGTTCCTTAATATAGTATTTTATAGCTGAGAGGACTACGCGCTTTCAGATGCGAGGAGAGAATGCGTAGGACTCCTGGACTATGGCTGTGAGCGACCATCCGGAAGGCCCAGCAAAACTTGCAGACTAAGCCCGGATTTGGATTTGGACCGCCTTTACAACAAACATATGTAAATGATCCCAGATCGTTTTCTCAAGGTTCTCAACCGGAACGAAGTGGAACAAACTCAACTGCTGATCTCATTAGATTTCAATTGATGTACACCGGACACGCTGATCAAACCCATCCAGGTGGGAATATCGTGTTCCTTGTATGGTCATATACAATCATATAGATCAACCCCGCCACTGGTCGCAGCAACGCAACCGCAGCACAAGAAACACCGACTGGCCTTCACCACCCATCGTCCCAGCTATCGCAGTACCGGCTAAGTACCATCTCCTATGGATCCACATACCGAACCTGAGGTACGGTGATTGGAAAATTTGGAAAATATTATGTAGGCGCCAGGGACGGGCCCAGTCGTACGGAACCTGACAATTGACAAGGTGGCAGCGGGTCCGTAGAGAGTCTGGAGGCCATCGTGCTTCTAGGTTGGAGGCCATTCCTATTGGTAACTCAAGAGAACAAATGGTTTTTAAAGAGCATGACTGCTAGTAGCTAGAAGCTACGAACGTCACAGGGGCGTAGCGCTACGTTCGCGTAGCAATCAAGCTACGTTCGTAGCTTCTGGCATCCCTAGGGATCGTGGTGTTGACGAGTGGCCAGAAGTGCATCAGCAGAAAGCCCTCCGTCGGCGTGTCGGAGCGGTTGACCGGCGACATGGATTGCCCCAAGGCCACCTGGTCAGCAGTACCCGGCTGGTGGAGACCAAGGGGGAAGCCCGGCCGGTTGACCTACCAAAATGAGACCAGGTGCCTGGTTTTACAGGGCACCTGGTCCCATTTCCTCGAGTAGGGTCATGGTGCTTATAATGTGCTTATAAGTGCTGAGATTGAGTCGTGCAATACTAGTTGTTAGCCATTCGCAAGGAGAAGGGCAAGGCACGTTCAGTCTCAGTTTGTTCAAGATCTATTCCTTGCTGGGGTGGAAAGGTGTATGGAAGGGTCAGCTGCTTCTCGTGCCGCCGAAGCACAGCCAAACCGGAGAGTCGCTGTGAACAAACTGTTCCCGCTTGGCACGCTGTATGTCAGCCAAACACTACTCGTACCCCAAACTTGAACATGTTTCTAGCATAATATTAATAATCCTCAGTTTGCAATGATAACTGCAAACAACTAAGGAGTATGGCTTCACAATGAAAGTGGGGGACATTGGCCATGGTTCGTCTCGATCGGCTGGACATCGTCTCAATGACGACGCCACAGCCGGAAGCGAGATCAACACAAACTGTCTCCTATCCATCCCACCACCGGCTGGGAAGCACAGTGCTGGGAAGCTTCCAGCAACAACTTGTATAGTCGCGTTCCAAGCACCTGTCAAAAATATAGTTATACCGCCACTAGTTATACCTGATAGCTTAAGAATTAGCATGCATGAAACCTCTCCACCCGTGCAACGACTTCTGACTTCTCAAGAAAGACACCAATCACCATTTAATGTAGTCAAAACATGAAAAGCACGGCAACATTTAGCACTTGGAAGATCTTGGAAGTAATCACTTAGAATACATCCCTGGTACATCAGAACAAAAAGCGGCCGGCACAAAACCAGGTTATTCGCCAACTTGTTTCTGGTCCACCAAACCCATTCAGGATCTAGACCTTACACCAAGTCGCCTAATTACAAAAAACTAAACAAAAACATACCAAAACAATCCAAAACTCACAAATCCACTTCAACACACCTGCCCAACCACCTGGCCCCGCGTGGTGGAACACCGAGTCGACTGTCCTCCGCGCCGGGGTTTGAACACTTCGGCTGAACATTTGCCGCGTCCAAGGCGCGCGGCGACGTGCTTCGAGTTCCAGGTCGCTGATTTCGGGTAAGACCTCTGAGTTCAAATAGGGATCTGAGACCGAACTCCTCAGCTGAGGAAAGCTTTTCCGACGTGCCCAGCCCAGCGCCCAGCTTCGCGCCCATTCGACATGATCTCTTCATGCAAATAAGCGGGTTTTCTGAGGAGGAAGCACCATCCATGCAATGGGACTGCAGTTGACGCTCAGTGGCAAGTCCTTGAGGTGTTCTCTTAAAGGAATCCAGTCGGGTTCACACTGGAAAGCTGCTGAAGAAGCCCTCCCCCATACAATTTCAGCTTCATAAGACCTTATTGGTTGATACGGTGCTCCCATACATTGATGGCCAAGTTTTCCACCACCAAAACACCAACATCGGTAAAGAATGGGAGATGTGTTGAATGAATTGAATGAATTGTTGGTGTAGGATTGCCGCAGCCAACAATATCTCCCAAGATGTGGCCAGCTGCATCTCGACACAAATCCGACTATTTTGACAAGTTCTTAGAACAGTTGATGCTGGTTGTATCCACGGACACCTACGTGCCCGTCCCAAGGTGAAAACAGCACACGTGGCGTGAAGTCAAAAACCCGCACTTCGACCAGCTGCAGTTTCTTCCCAAACTCATCCTCGCTCCTGGACTCGCTCTGCGGCCTCTCCTTCTAGCCCTACACCCGGCTTGATTCCCCAACCGCTTGGCTGTTCAACGATTGAATCCGTGCCGCACGTGAAGCTTCACAAAATAGGCTTGATTCGACCAGGCCCAGCAGTCCTCTCTTCTTCCACCGCAAATTTGGCCTTCTTCTTGCTGTTCGGGTCTGGTGTGCTGCTCATGGTTGCAGCAGTTGTGCCTCAGCCCGCAACTCACAGGCAAAAATGGCAAGTCGCCTGAGAAAGCTCTTGATGCTTTCGGAGTTGATGTTGAAATGACATTACTAAACAACGAACCGTTCTCGCATTTTAGTTCTATCACACATATTTTGGAACGTCGTATGTCTGTCTGTCTGTCTATCTATCTATGTCTATGTCACTGTCTATGTCTATATCTATGTATATGTATATGTATGTATATGTATGTATTTATGTATGTATTTATGTATGTATTTATGTATGTATGTATGTATGTGTGTGTATGTGTGTGTCTGTCTGTGTGTGTGTGTGTGTCTGTTGTGTGTGTGTGTCTCTGTGTGTGTGTGTCTGTGTGTTTGTGTGTGTCTGTGTCTGTGTGTCTGTGTGTGTCTGTGTGTCTGTGTGTCTGTATGTACATGTATTAAATATTGTTTTGTATACTATATATTTAGTTTTATATGATTGATTTCAACCCTAGCACCGGACTTGCAAATAATTCATTCAAAAAGGAAAAAGGACGTCATATACATATCTCATCATCATACTTCGATCCTTCTCTACTTGCAAGAACTTTCTGGTCTGATCCCACTTCATCGACGGGAGCCGGAAGCTCTCCGTAGGCTGCACTGTTTGGCTAGATAATGATGCTATATAGCAACTGGACCCAAGTCCCTTGGGCCATTGAAATGACAAGCTCACAAACTCCATCTCTCCATGCTTTGCAGGAAGCCACGTTCTCAAGCTAACCCGGCTATCCAAACGCTCACAATGACATAAGAACAGAAATGTACCCAAAGTCTAAATTAGCCTCCCAAAAATAACACCTCGTGGGAGGAGCATTAAAACAAAACACCTGACCGGATTCAACCTCTTGACTAACACCAGGGTGCTTTCATCGGAGGAGTTGTCAGTGGACTTCCGCAAGCGCCGGTTCTCCGTCGTGAGCTGCGAGACGGTGCTCCGCAACTCCTGCACCCGGTACGTGTGGACACGTGGAGTCCGAGAATCCAGACATGGTCCGGTCAGACCCAGGGGTCGTTTGGGGGTATATGGACCTCCTTCGTGTAGCTACTTCGTGTAGGGACTTGAGGGGCTGAGCAAAGGCTGAGCTAGAGGTGAGACGTTGGAGCAGTGTACGAAAAGGCCAGACGTGGGGGGTCAAGACTTCAAGAGGTGTGGATGTGGCGCAGGATTTGATTGCATGTGCTGCGAACAAAGGTCCAACGTCCACATCATGGGACATGGGGATTGCAAAGCATCCAGTGGTGTGCTGCTTTGTGAGTTGTCAAGAGAGGTCAGTGGCATTGTTCTCACAAGCAACACAATTAACACAAATGCGTCCCTTTGCGGAGAAACCCTCGTGAAGGTGTTTAGAGGTACTTCCAAGAGATTTGAAGTGCAAAATGTAGCTCGCCCAATGTTCCTGTCGCAATTTGTGTGCTGTTGTGGTTTGCATGATTCATGATCGCCAATGGCTCATGCCCTTGACTCTATTACACACACACACACACACACGTACATACAGTGCCCAAGACCCCAACAAGAAAGTTCGACTTAGCACCAGCTAAGACTCGAATGGATTGTGTTTGACTGAGTATCGCTACTGGAGGCTTAATGACGATAACCCAGCTCTAAGGAGGAGTTTGATGGATCAACCTATGGCAACTGCAAACCCCTGCAAACCCTACAAGGAGATGTCATGTAGTTGTAGACCAACTTACCCGGGAGCTCTGTACAGTGTCTAGAAGGTACCATGGAACACCAAGTAATTAACTACCCTGCATTGTCCATTTTCGGCGCTTTCCCCATGAGGTGGGTGCCTGGAACCCCAAATCATGAAACAACCGGCATTCCCCGAATTCCCATTAGTTGGCCCCGAATTCCCGAAAACCACATGAAATGTGACACCTTTGGACGGTCTCCCGCTATTTGACTGCATTGAACAGCTCTTGGAAAGGGGGATTTACTCTAGAAACAGCTCCACTCGTCGAGTCCGAGTCCAAGCTCTTCAGGGCATGACATCACCGGTGGCATGGCAGTGGCACCTGAAGCTCCAACTCATACTTTTCACTCAACTCCTCGGACCGCGCCGCGAGTCGCGCGCGACTCGCGGCGAGTCGCGCCGCGCGCGCGGCCCCGGAAGGTTTGGCCACTCCAGCAACTTGGGCGTCAGCCAGCTTCACCCAGCTTTCCAAACCATCCCATGGGACTGGAAGATGTGCTGGCCTCCCCTTCACCTCCATTCTTTTTATCCAGTCCCCTATTCCAGTCGGGGACTGGAAGATATGCCGATCCATTGACCCCCACTTCAAACCACCCCAGTCGGTAGACAGAAGATATGCTGGTTCCATGGGTCTGTAGAGATGGCTTGGCGGGTTGCAAGCAGCCTGGAACCACCGCCCTTCACGGAGAAACGGTGCAGGTTTGGGAGATTCAAAGGTGGATGTTCAAAGTTGGTAGAGACTTCACTGGAAGAAAGTGGAAGAGGAACTTGAGAGAGGAGGGGGTGAACGAAAGGTAGCAGGCAATCACAAGTGACCCTGGTAAAAGTCCATGAAGAAGTGGATATTCAAAGAGATATTCAAAGTGGGATTGATCGATTGTCCTTCTCTCTCTCTCTCTCTTTCTACTCTCTCTACTCTCTCTCTCTCTCCCTTTCTTTCTTCCCTGCCTGGCATGGCAAACGGAAAAAAAGAACAACCTGTTGCAAACTCTTCTCCCAATGGCAATGTTTCTAACGCTCATGGGCCATGGGGGTATCATGATCGCCGAGCCATGCACACGTCAACCGAGTCAGCCACCGCCACCAAGCCGCAGAGAGGACGTCCACCACGTCAGAGAGCGTCTGCATACTCCCCTGGCGACCCAAACGGGTCTTCCACATCGAACCACCCAGGGATGGGACAAACACAGTATTCGCAGGACGAAAAGGTGAACTGGGTGGTGAAGGAAACCGTTCAACACAACATGCAAGGTCTTTGGACATGTGAACGGTCATTCTAACATCTTCTTAGACCCACTACTCCCAGCCTGTTTTATTCTCTGTCATTCCCTCAGCGGCCACACACACAAGTCTGGATCATTTCTGGGAAAATCATATCTCAGCACATGGATGAGCTGTGCAGTTTGCCATTTCCTTGAGCCTATCCACAAGCATCGAATAAGTATGAACATGTATGAAGCAGGATCTACAAAAGGATCTGCTCACGATTCCTTTGTCCATTCCTTGTGTGATTTTTGGGTCAGGCCGGTGCAAGGAGGAGATGGTTTTTATCCGCAAGGAGGATACTGATGCGGATGCATGATTGAGTGTGGTACATCTAGTAAACGGGTGGCCTTAGCATACACACTGTACACCGGCCCTGCATTGAGCACGTTTCAGTCTCATTGGTTGGGGGAATTTTCGCGATCCGGGGTTCGGGAGGTCTCGGGCGATGGAAGCGTTGTTTCCGGGCACGAGCCACGAGAATCATTGCCTTAGTGCTTGGCGAAGGTAGCATTTTCGGGACAGCAAGGAAACGGGCTCCTTTTGGGGGGAGTTGGGTCTAAACAGGTTGGTTTCTGAGACTTTGTCGCTGGGAACCTGGTTGCAGGTTGCAGGTTGAGCGAAACCCGGCAGCTCCCCAAAGCGAGCAAAACTTGATCATTCAAGATTCAACATCATTGAATCATCTGGAGAAGCCGACGGAGGGCTTTTCCAAGGACCCTTCCTTTGAAACGGTGGACTGTCGGTGCAACTGATCACTTTGCATGAATAGTGTCCACGAATCCCCTGCTAGGTGTTCGTCAGTAAGATATATATATATATATAGTATAGATAGATTCCTGGACCAACAGCTGCACAGGCTAAAACAAGAGTAGACCAAGTGGGTGGTTTTCAGAGTCACCTCATCGCATGTCCATTCTGCCCAGGTGTAGAAAACCTATCAAAGACCATTGCCGCATCAACAAAGCCATGCCTTAAGCACTGGAGACTGGATACTTCTCCGGTATGTATCGTGCTCCATGAGGCGCCTGCCCGCTGTCAGCAGCCGCATGCGGCCGGCATCTCAGGTGAGGGGGGGAAACCCTGGGATTCTCTGGAATTGCTGCTAGATGGCTCCAGAAACTCACAATTGAAGCAAGTGCACCTGGAGTAGGTTGGAGGCCATCGCTAGGAGGGTGGAGGCCATCGCTAGTAGATCTAAAATGATTTAAGAGTCACTCGGTTCCAGTGGATGGATACCAAACGATACTTGTCAAATTGCAGGGGCAAAGCCACACTAAGCTGCAAATCATCACTTTCACCAATCTATCCCTGATGGTGCGGCCTGATCTAAAGCCCGGCATAGAGAGAGCATGTCTTCGGTTTCTCGCAAGTCCCCCATTGGATTCTGAGCGATCCCCCCCTCCGATCTTGGACCAATGGCTTGGGGGATTGCTGTCCAGGAACCTGGGAAAACATATGTCCCCAGGAAGGGATTTACCTATAGGATCCCATAGGGATAATAAACAATAACCTTCAGCAAAAACAGGATGGGCATCCGATGTCATATCAGAAAGATTGCACCCTTTATTGGGGTGTTGCCACCCACTGTTCTGACGGACGCCATGTTCATGTGTCCAGATTTCTCCTAACTTGAACGCAAACTCCAATCATTCGAAACACAAAGTGAACGATAACACATTAATTACTGTGCCAGCCCTCTTTCTCAGGGTCCCAAGCATCATTGAACCCACGACCTTTCTGACAAACAACCTGCAACTAATATATGGATCTATTGCCGGGCAAAGCTGCCGAGGTGAACTTGATGCATTTTAGTATACGCCTAAGGCTGAAGGATTCGAACGGGCCCGACCTCTTGGCAGAATTCAAACCCTTCTCCACCGAAACGCCGGGGGAAGACGGACCCTGTTCCCAAACCCTATATTGCTACTATGTGTTGTGGAACGGGCCCGGCGTCGTTGTTCGACAGTGCCAGATCTCACCAGCCCATGACCACCCCACCACCCGCCTCGGACGCCCGGGCCGGGTAGCTGAGCTCGAGCCCGATCTGAAGATACCGAGTCTCAGACGTTCAGTGACACCGGCGACCCCGATCTTGAGACTAGCGAGACAAGCAAACGAGGTATACGATCAGATCTGGCACAACGGCCGAAAGTTCGGCGCGGATTCGATGCATGCAGGACGCCATGGACAAACACTGCTGCATCAAAATTGCCATGCTGAGGACACCATTATCAGCAAGGCTTCATGTCTTTTTAGTCATAGACTGACGCAGCGGACGACCGGTCACTCAAGAGACTAACGCACGGGTCATGGATCGGCGTGGATCGGGGTGCACCGGTCATTCTCTCACCGGTCTCTCGAAACATCTCACCGGTCGCATGGGTTGCACCGTCCGTACATCCTCCCCGTTGTCCTCGGATCTCCCTTCGTCGTCAAACACCGAAAAGAAGATCACCACCCAAGCAGTGGAGGATGAATATCAACCCCAAGTCTGAAAAGACCGAGCGTTCACGGGATCCGCAGTCGATCTTGCTCCTTCGCTCAGTCGCTTTCTTCCCGCGAGCGCCGCAGCACGACATCCGTGTCCTCCCGCAAGCGCCGCAGCTCTGCCAAACGCTCCTCGAGCTGCACGGCCGCATCCTTTATGGAGCAGTCCCATGGATGTGGCGTAGGCGTTGTGGCGAGCCAAGAGCTGGGGCTCAGTGGGATGTGATCCTGACGAGCGAAGAACGGAGCTGTAGTTGTAGGCCATGCGACTGACTCCGTGACTGAAGGAGTTGAGAGTTTGGGGGGTCCGATCCCCAAAAATGACACACACACACAGGACAATTGTTCACTTGTCTGCATTTCATAGTTCGTCATGCTGAACAAAATGAAGAATGCGCATTGCACTTTACTCTGTGTGAATGTCAAGGCTGTGCAAACCTGTTTCGAAAGACCTATAACAAATACTATATACTATATTATAAACCTGTTTGGGAGTCATATGTTCTCAAACCTGTTCTTGACCAACAAAAACAAGCCCAGCCCAGTTCACCAAAAACCTTGTCCACTCTAAAACTCTTCTTCTCAAGAAGCCTCCGGAGGCTGATTGAAGAAACATGCACACGATGCTATTTGCTTATTAGCAGCATATATTGGCGTAAGAGGACACCAATTTGGGAGTGATCAACTGTGGAAACTCACAGCTTACAACAGCAAGATTTGAGGAACCATGCTGTAAACATATGTTAAAACATGTTCCGATGTCAATCCAATGGTTCGACACTTCCAATTTCAATCGATTTCCACACACACACAACAAAATCAAAACGACTGGATGGTCCACGCGTCCCAGCTGAGCTGGCTGTCACCAGCTCAGCTGGGAATGGAAGAATCAGTGCTGCTGATGCAAGAGATGATGAAGAACCAAAGATGTGTCGTGAAATACAAGCCTTTAGATGTTGCCAAGCCATGGAAGAACAAACTGCTCTCTGTAGAATCAACACCTGTGCCCCGCTCTCTATAAATAAGTCCAAAATCCAAGACAGTGACATAGCAAGATTCACTATAAGTTTGTGTCTTGGACGCTCACGCTGAATATGTTTCTTGGGTGAATATGTTTGAATGAACGGAAAAAAAACGCCGTCTCTAGAATGGTATGGTCATACCCAAACGCTCCATGTATGTCATACTTGCCTAGATTGGGGTGGTTTGGGGGTCAATTGATTGGCTGTGACATCGGCATATATTCCAGTCCCATTTGTCGTGTATGGTCATAGTCATAGCTGCTTGATCTTTTTAGACTCTGCAAAAGACTCTTGATTCAATTCTGCAAGGATTGTCCCGCTCTGGGCGTTCGCCCGGGCCGGCGTTTTTTGGCTGTCCCTCCGCCACGACCGTAGCTTCACCCGATAGATATTTCAAGCAAAATAAAAAGCTGAAGTAACTGTCCAAATGCACGGATACTTGTATAAAAAGTATGGTACCTTTTTCTGTGAACTGATCAACACTTATTCAAAAAGTATGCTTCAAAAGGGTGGCCCTGCCCTGCTCCGGAACGCCTCTCCTCTCCGCTTTCCACCTCTTTCAGCAAATCCCTCTCTTCCGCTGGTCCCGCCGTTTCAGGCGGCACGGATCTGGCCACGTGGCCTGGATGGGCGCGAGAAAATGGACGCTTGACTTCATGTGGGTTGTGGCACACCGAACAGGCATGAAATGAATACGTACTCTGACAATACATCTCAAACAACCCAAATAGAATCCAAATAGAACAAACCAATTGGCAAACGTCAAACGTCAGGATTTACTACCACCATCTACCACCTTCGTTGGATCAGCCGTGATTTCAGGCATTCGGCTGGCCAGCGAGCTTGGACGGCAGGTGTGTATGCAGGGAATGAGCTCTGCAAATCGTGTAGCACGTTTCTCGATTCTCTCGAAGAACGCATAGGCTAGTTTGATAGCTGTTGGGGACCTTTTGTTGGCGGGGTTATTATCAGGAGGCCGCAGGCCGCAAGACGGGCTGCTCAAAAGCGGGCTGCGGTCAACACGTGCGTCGACGTGTCAATGTGGCACGAAGCTCGCTTTGGGCCTTGAAGGTCGGTCGGTGCGCTGGCTTGGTGTCCACTGGGTCAGCCAGGTTGGCCAGGTGGGGTCGCGTCACCGAGCTTGCCGCGAGGGTTTGGGGCAACCCATTTGGGCGCAGGAGATGATGTGGAGGACATGATGTACGGGTTGGTTTGCTGCTAACACTCCGACCAACACACAAAACATGGAAGTGGAAAATTTCCACCCTGTTTGTGAAGGCAAATTGTCTTCCTTTCGGGGACATGCCATGCACTTTCATGTTAGGTTATTTGTTGCTCAATCTTCTGGATTCCGGCACGTAAAGCTTGCCTTGAGAGAATCTCTTGTGCCCAGGCACGGGACCAACCGGAACAAATGGTCACATTGAATTGTCAAGGCGCGTGTCATCCTCAATCTCAGAACAAGTATCTCCTTTATCAACCTCTTGAAGGGGTGGAGATCTCCAAATACGTCAGTGGCAGCAAGTCACTACATCCAAAATGCCCAAATGCTTTGCCTACTTAACAGTTCAATTTCCATGTTCGGTCAACAAATCTTCGTCTTGCTGCGAAACTACTGGAGAAAAGATCATCTTGTGGATCGACCACGTCAATTCACAGAAGCCGTTTGGCTGTTCAAGCGCTCACGCGAAAATGTTGAGAGCCCACATTGGACGGAGAGATGTTCCGGGCCTCCGCATTGTGTCGGTGTGTGTGTGTGTGGCCGGACCTCACGGCACAAGTGCCGTAGATGAAGCCAGGTGAATCCAGGCAAAGCGTCACAGAACACATGCCAGAACACGCGCCAAATGTGATGTCAGAACATATATGTCAGATTGCGTTGTCAGACCGCATGACAGAACTCACGGAGGACTTGATGCTAGAACATATGTCGGATTACATTGTTGAAGCATTTCGGAGTGCAAAAGCTAGCCAGAACACATACAAGACTTTATGTCAGACTACATGCCAGACCAATGCCAGATTATATGTCAAAAGACATGCAAAGACTTGGTGTCAGAACAGTTCTCAAAGGAACATGACAGAGCAAACAATGTCGGATTGCTTGGGCCGGATTCTATGTCAGGCCACATGCCAAAACATTTGCAAAAATCTAGGAGGGAGGTTCCTAAATTATGGGGCGCTTGGGCCTCTATGTCTGTTGGCCACCTGGAGCTATTGATAAAATGCTGGAGCTATACTATCTATAAATCATCAGGAACTAGCAATGCCCTTAGCTACGTTCGTAGCTTCTTGTTACGAACGTAGCGATGCACCTTGTTACTCAAGGACGAGGGTGAAGGGCCTGACTGCATTGCGAGGCCCGTGAGGTCAGTGACGTGGGAGGATGGCTGAGCAGGGGGAGAGGAGGAAAAGGAGATGAGCATCAACAGGACGAAGACAACATCAAATCCAGAGACCCCCACCTGACAGGTGGGGAACAAAGGTTTGAAGATGTTTCGGAGATGCGCATGTCTTGCGTTGTGCGTGTTCTCGAGGTTCATCCCCACAAAGATGCCATATGTTCCACACACCGAAAAACGCGGAAGGAACCGATGTTGCTCCGCTGGCAGGTGTCTTTTCGTACAGTGCGGGTGTGCAGTCCACACCACAAAACAATTGCAGCTAGGTCCTAGGTCTGGAAACACTCTTATCTTGCCAAACAGCTCTGAATGGGGATAAGACATGATAAGACTTCTCCGTCTCCTGCTTCACAAGCTCATTCTCGCACTACCCCAGCTAAACACTTCTTGATTCAGTTGACCTCTTCCCGCTGCAGCATGTTTCTAAAATTTGCTAAACCGAGCACAGCCCCGAATATACAAAAGTCAAGCGAACTACTTCCGTAGGTCAAGACCTAAGAGCCCATGAAAACCCTGGGACCCGCCCATCGACACGCCTAGGACTTCCAAGATAAGTTTGGCTTCGTCATCCCGAAAGTGGCCAGGCCTGAAAGCACAGTCATCACAAGTATGGGAATTCAATTAGAAAAACACAGTAGAAGAACTGCCTATGCCACTCTATAGCTGAGATTGTCATGGATCTAGCCTGCATTTCCCTACAGCAGGAGGCATTCACTTCCACGTTGGCCAATAAGCGGCTGTGGTGTCTATGAAGGCCCGTACAAGCCACAATTGGTTACAACATTGTAGGTTGCGCCCTGCAAGCGCGTATCTCTAGGTCATGAACCCTGGGTTTTCAATCGTTGCCAAGCGGTATAGCCAAGTGAGGAAACAATTTGAGTCGAACTCATCCCGCAAAGCCACCGCTGGTGCCCCTCTTTGATGCAGGCGGCTAATTACCAGGCACGCACCAGCAAAAAAACTACCTCACTATGCAGCTATGCCCAGCTTGAAAAAAGGCTGACACCGGATGTGGATCACAACGAGTGCGCACAGGGCGCCCTTGTCCACACTGCGCTGTCAAGCCTCTAGAAACAATGATTAAGTCTTCCCAGTGTTCTAAATGCCCCTCCAAACCCTCCAAATAGACCCAG